CTTGCACAGAAAACCAAAAATATAACGTTTGAATTGGCACTTACAGTGTTCTCTACAGAGGCGACATTGGACATACCAGTCATGCCATTTTTTAGCACTATTGGTAAATATTTACAAAGGGAAATTGTACTGCAATATTCCCATTGGCACGTAGAACATTTTTTTAATGAATGGGTCATTACATTACAACAAATAGGTCATTTTGTTAAAAAAAAATCAAGGCGCGTTGAAATATTTGAAAAGACCCCACCCACAAAAAGGGACGTACCTTATAAGATGTGCCGCTTGATGCCACTCAAGTTCGACACCTCAAAATTTTCATAAAGTGTACCGTTAAGTTATCATTTGAGTTGATCAAGTTAGTTGCGATACCCTGTGTAGTCAAAGTGATCAATATGTAAGAACCCTTTTCAAATGTAATTGTAAATATGTTTCAAAGGGTTTTGAAAAAACATTGTGGAACCGACTAGGTGGCGATTCTACATGCAAAAATAAGTCGGAAAAAAGAGTAACATTTCTTCATTTAAGGGTTTGTTTTCGAGATAATCGAATTTGAAAATCTGTTGGATACGCGTGCAATTGAATCGGACTTGGGTAGCACGTCTGTCCATTGCATTCCGTTTCTACTTACTACTATAAGGAATACACGCGTTTTAGATTAAAGAATCAAACTGAACAGCACTAACTTCATATCAAAAAGGCTAGACTTTGTGAGCGGGGAGCAGGGGAGCCACTTGCCTCCTACCCCTGGACGGAAAAAAGTGGCTGCTGCCCCACTCTACAAGAAAAAAATGGATTTTGCCCCCCTCCTTTCTTCACAGGGTTACCAAATTTTTGCGTACTATTTAATATTGCAGTATAATTTGAAACACGACCAACAGCCTCTATTAACAAGACGCATACAATTTCAACGATTTATGACTTTAAAAACAAAATAAAATGTGTCTGGCTACGTACAGCCTTTTTCACTGTGGTAGTCAATGTGTTAATATTTTTGCCCTCCCCCCCAGACTGATAACCTGGCTACGCCCATGTCAGCAACCTTTAAGTAATACAAACAAACCAGATTAAGTTCCATCATTTTCGAATGTGTTGAACAGTGTTATTAATCCTAATAATGATTCCATAGGATCATCATGAAGGTAATCTCCTTCTGCCCTTGTATACCTATCAAATCTTTTCCTCCAATTTTCGAATGCAGTGTGGTACCACATACGAAGCAGCAATCGTGCCAGTGAGTTGCGCATTTGTGCTGCACATGCAAGCTTTCTTCGAATGTGGCCACTCTTCAACTACTGGCTTGATTACCGCTTCAATTCCATATCGTATGTATAGATCCATGGTTCCTCTTCAGTTATGGTTAATTTAAAAAAATTTTCATGTTCTTTCCTCGTTTTAAACACGTGCTAAGGGGACAACGGTTCGCTAAGCGCGAGACACTAATTAAGAAATTGCAGGAGGAACTAGACTTGATTCCTGTGGCGTCTTATCAGAAGTGGAAAAAAAGATTTCAGGTGTACATATATGGCAGAAGGAGATCACCTTCATGGGGACCCTATGGAATTATTGTTAAGAGTAATAAGTTATTAATAATACCACTGTTCAACAAATTTGATCTTTTTTTCGACTTCAGAATCTTCGCTAGGCGTTCCTGATAAATCTATACGAGGTGAATGCGGATCTGTCAACAGTTTTTTCCCAGAACGTATAGTTTTTTAAAAAAAATTGCAAATTTTCAACCATGGAGGTGTGTTGTGCTTTTACAGTAACAGTTATTCAGTTGATTCTGGACTCCCAAATAAGTCTCTGGACTCTCCCGAACAAAATGATGTAAATTGTTATTACATTATAAGTATCTAAATATGTTTAAATCGTGATGAAAGTGAAAAGGACACTGAAAACGCTAAAAAACACCGAAATTTTCGGCATAGCTTGATTTTATAAGATAATAAAGGGGCGGAAAATTGAGTGGATATTTGTATTACATACTTATGTGTCCATAGAATTCAAGAATATCCAAACATTAAACACGCTATGAAAATTATACTGTGTCATTGAAAGATTAATTAACATGTTATACAGTTAAAACTTTCGTGCAAGCGAAATTGTTAGTGTTCACCTCTTCGTTGATATTGCAAACCAGCTTGTCTTAAAGCGGTGTTAGTTTCCTTCTCATAAGATTAGCAGCCTGTAGCGTAAGATTCACTTCTTGTTGTTAGTCTTCGTAGCTGAAACCTTTCGATTAGTTTCCGTTTGTGCAATGTTCATATCTTTGTTTGCTAACTATACAACGCCATCGAGTCGTTTCTTGCTACATAATAAAATAATGCCGGAACTACATATGTATTAAATAACACGTTGAAAGGATAATAGAATATGTTCAATTTATTTCAGCGCAAATAAATAACGAAGATCGTTATACAAATTCGACATAATTCGTGCGTTGAATCTGTAACGTTTGAGAAATATCTATGTTACAGGAGCACTTTCATTTTGACTCGCGGCCAAACACTCAGAGCAAGGGTGATAATGTTTCCCTGCTAAATTGAGCATTTGTTACAATGATCTCAATGACTTATCGTTGTGAATACTTAAATTATCTATCAATGTAACTTTTTTTGGTATTTCCTTTTTATTAAAAATGCCACGAAAATTTTTAGTTTTCTTAAGGTGGAATTTCCTATCAGCGCCAGAAACGAGCGATTGCATCTGAATTTCTACCGAAGCAGACGTTAAACAACGAAATAAATAGAATACAATAAGAAAATGATACAGGTCGCACTTCGTTTAACCCTTGACTACACGCGACTCGTCTCAAAGATGAATTGTCCGATAATAATTATTTTGTGATATTTTTTAATAACTAACTGAATGTCATTTTTCGCTTAAAGCTGCGTGATTTCGAAGTTCGATAAAATGATAGGTCTATTCTGTATATCAACCGTGGTGTCATTTACATACTGTCAATGGAAGGTAATTACTCAAACACTTAGAGCTTCTAAAATTCACCACTAGGTGGTGATAGCGAAAGAAAAATTCAAAGCCATCTCTGAGATGAGTGACCTGCAGTTAAGGATTAAACGCCGACACATGTCCGACGCTTATGGGAAATTCCACTTTTAGGTTATATAGGGAGTACAAAAAATAAAGTACCATTTTAAAGCTGATTCTAACGATGGTAACGATTCATCACGTTACTTCGTAAAATTATACATCTAATCTTCACTGATAATACATTTAATCTCTACTGTGGGTGTATTAGATGTAATAAGTAATGAAAAACTTTTTATGAGATGTAATCCTTTTTTTAAAGAAAATTATGAACTTATGGTACTGGAACTGATATATTCTTTACTGCCCTGCAATATACTTACCAAAATACACTGCATAAAACAGGTAGTCGCTATTGCCAGCGATTCTGCTTTACCAAACAAGCAAAAGGAACAAAACAAATACTATAGTTTTCTTTTTATAAATAATGTCTCAGAAATCATGCGTCCTATTGACAGGCATATTAACTGCAATATATGATCCTCTATTTGTTTTAAAGCAGTCTATAATATTAGTCATTGATATTCGATCTGGGCACTATTTGAATAAATTTCTTTAAACGTAGTTTAAATAAAAAATTGTGTGGTAGTATGCTCGGCAAAACAGACGCCTATATTTATTATTCAAGTTTATATTATATTTCAACGTTAAACGCATACACGGTTTTTCTTTGCAAATGAAATATTTGCTGATAAAGGTGTATGCACGTGCGTATACATGTACGATATTCTCGTTAACATTTGCAATTCACTAACGTAAAAGTGTGTTTCATGTTCTGAATTCTACGCTATATATTATCTTATTTTAAGCAGTTAACTGAAACACAAAACTTATTTTAAAATTATTTACTTTTCATATAAAACAGAGACACTTGCTCTAACTTATATTCGAAGTACAGAGAACAAATACATGATTAATTGTTTATGTATTTGGAGAATTAATTGTTGAAAATATGGTTTCTCTTGTCGGCGTAAAAATGGCTGTCGCAGAATCCAAATTTGTATTAGTTTATATAATTTTTTCCTATGGAGTTTTCTTACACAGGAGTTCTACAACAATAGAAGAGTAACAAAATTTTCTAGTTACGTTGCATATTATGTAAAAATTTCCGTCATAAAGGGCTCAACAATACAACAATTATTTATTTCATTAAGGACTATCTTCCAACATTTTGTCATTATAAACACGATTTGCACTAATTTTGTCAATAACAAAATACGTCACGCGTAAATAAAATGGTATGATATTTTTTATGAGTATGGCGTTGTGCACAATAAGAATTCTTACTTTACTGCACCAGACATTCTACTTCTATATTATTACAGACTAGCTGTTTATGCAGTTTCAAGATAAGTTGCATTATAAAAATATACAAAGTGAAAATGTCTGTCCTTTATTGTTGCGAGGTAAAATACAATCGGATACTAACAAAGTAGGTATCGTGAAACACAGCTTAGGTTTAGAAAATAAACAAGAAGGATTCGGTGCACCAATCAGTAATTTCTTCATTATTTTCTTCAGAAATAGGGCTAAATACAATTTGCACCAATTTTATCAATAATAAATATGGTACACATAAATCAAATGGTATGATATTTTATGACTATATGTATACACACCTACATAATAATAAAAATTCTTTTAAACGATCATCATCTGAACGTAAACTCTTCGTTAATTAGACTAATATGTGTGAATTATATTGCAATTAACCAACAAAACGTATTTCATTAATCAGACTTCATAATCTTTCTGTAGACATAGGATTAAAGTTTCTCAAAGAACTGCTCGAGTGTCTTAAAATGTCCGTGTTAAAATTTTCTCGGATCATTCACCGATTTATTATTACATTATCGTATATAGCAGAGACCAGATAATTGGTAGCAAGAAACGACATCTCGGGGAAATGGAAATATGACAGTAGTTGTATTTATTACATAAATACTCACATGGTTGACCGCTTCGTTGCCTGGCCTCTTCCTCTTCAAGCATCCGTAGAACCGCACTGTTTTGTAAGTTCGTCGGTTTGGCTAACTGGTTGAAGTCGATCCTAGGAAAATCAGAAAGACTTGTACTGTGCAATTTTGGACTACAAATTTCATTTCAGTTTTGCGTAAAGAGTGACACTAAATTAGCACTTAGTCAATGAAGACTAATACGTTAAAAACATTTTCCAAAGACCATTGTAATTAATATGTTTTAAAGTATGCACAGGGCCGTTCCTGGAGGGGGTGCAGAAGGTGCCACCGCACCTGGGTGACCAAACCTAGGGGCGGCCGCAGACCGTTTATTACATGTAAAATTTTGACTAATAAGATTAATAATCAATACTTTTTTGATGATTATTAACCTTTTAGACAAACAGAATTCAATTAAATTAATTTTATATGTAATCTTTGTAACACTACTCGTATATAAGAATAAACTATCTTTATATACAATCCAAAACGACAATTTTTGTTAGAAGAAGTTTATTAACTGTGACTTCGACGGGAGTTGGTCTAGAACAAACAGTATACAGGGAAGTCCACGCAACTAGTTCACCCTAAATAACTTCTAAAGTATGCATTAAACGAAAAACTTTTCAGAGAAAAGTTGTATGGTTTGGAGGGATACATTATGTAATGCATATATTTTTTGTGTAAGTGGACACGTTTAGGAGATTTGATGGTCAACTTCGTTTTTTAAATGGAATGCTATATTTTTTATGCGAAAATATCGAAGAGCGTTAAATTTTGAGGAGAAAGGTACTGTTCTTTATTATCCGTAAACCCAATAATTAACGAATAATTTCACTTTGTTTCTTGAAAATGGTCTGTGCGTAATATTAAGTTGGAAATTCAATGGATAATAATACTAATGGGAATAATGGTAATAATGATAATAATGGGATGTATGTACAAAATTCAATATAAGCAATTAATCCTTGGAATACGGACAAACGCAGTTCGGTTTCCGAGTGCGGTCGGACCCGTATATTATTTAATTGTATTTAATAACATACAATTCCTATCGCGAGTCGCTTATAGGGATCAGATATCATCTCCCCTCTCCGAGGCCTAGGGACGTTATTTGATTTGGTCGGCTTGAATCCGGCTTGGTTACCCATCGGTAGCTGCGATTGGTAGACAAGCTTATCGCGGGAACTCGGCCGGCAGACTCGCGCTCTGATTGGTTGGGATTTTTTTGTTACTAAGTCGTTAACAAGATCTCGGATAACATTTTTGCTAAGGAAAAACTTGTTCCATATCGCCTCACGAGTGTCCTATTTCAGGGACCTGCAACATTTTTGGTACACCCTGTATGCAGTTTAATCAAGTTATGCGACACCGCGGCATCTCAAACTGCTCGATTTCGGTAAGTATTCAAAACACTTGATACGTCGCTAGAAATGATAGTAAAAACCTAGGAAAACTTTAATACGCATTAGATGTATTATTCGTATTTTTTATTATAGCTTATATAATATATTTATAAAATATTATATTTTTATTCGAAAAATAAAAGGTGAGATTCGTATCTTCAAAAAATGCAGATAAGTTGTTCTGTTTAACAATAGTTATGCACGTTTAAATATACGTAGTTTCACTTTTGTATAAAATAATTTTTCGTAAAATTAAAGGAAAGTCCCCAAATGACACAGCGACACTTACGTTTTACTATGTTATTTTACATAAAGTATTTTCTAATCTAACCATGTACATATCACGTGCTTTTATGGATTCTGTCGACAAAGTGTTACATTGCAAAACATGTACTCGAATGTTACGTATCGAATACTTTTGAAACATTTACGTTTAGTTTAAAGCAGGGACGTAGACCTAAGTAAAACATACCAGTGATGCATGAATATAATTTAATTTTAACTTTTTTGAAAATTAGAATTACTGAAAGTGAAATTCTTATTTCGGCATCGAAGAATGTATGTATAGGGTGTCATGTAACTGGTGGAACAACCGGACAGAGATTCTACGTGGAAAATAAGTCGAAAATTAGCATAATGTTTTTATTTCAGACTTCGTTTTCGAGAAAGTCGACTTTGAAAATTAATCGCAAACGCGTGTATTCGTCATGGTATGTAGTAAGTAGAAATAGAATGCAATGAACAGACATGCTAGCTAACTCCTATCGCTCAAAGTTGATTTTCTCGGAAACGAAGTTTTAAATGAAAAAAACTTTATTGTATATTTTGGACTTATTTTTTCACGTAGAATCATCCCCTAATCGGTTGTACCGCCAGTTATATACATGTCACTCTGTATATCGGTCCGTAAATCCCCCATTTAACATTTTGACTGCCACGTCACTCCAATGTGGGTGATATTGCAAAGAGGCTGGATTATTTAAATACAGTTACAAAATTTTTGCATAAATGTAATATCGCAGTATAATTTAATACAAAACCAATAGCCTCTATTAACTACAGCCATATATTTTTGACGATTTCTAACTGAAAAAACGAAATAAAACGTGTATGACTACGTACGGCCTTTTTTACTGTGGCAGTCAACGTCTTAACGTGTTCGCATTCAATGTTGTAAAACGTGGATTATTCTGTGTGTGCAGAGGTCATGTGGGTCACACGCGATTATTTGAGAATAGCTGTCGTAATTGCCCCGACGAATCCTCAGATGTCGGCGATAATAAGTGGTAACCAATAACAATGATATTATGCTGATCTCTGCCTTTGGGTGTCCGCCCCAAACTTACAGATAGGGGCTACAGGTGATAGGGTCGATAAGAACGTGTTAATATGTTCGTTCGTCCCACGTGACGTCTGCACGCATAGAATTATCTACGCCTTGCGATCCTCGCCCATGAATGTGTTATTCTTTCACAGCAAATATCCAATATGGTTGACACTGACAAACATACACGCATTGCATAAATCCATTTGAACGGTATTAATGAATTTTTTACTTAGTTTTATTATATGAAGACGTTTTTCAATTTTTCATGAACATCAATGTGCCAACAATAATACATGTTATAAAACAAAATGAAAATATGGCAGAAAGAAATGTTTTATAAGCGAAAATAGTTTATTATATGAAAAAAAAAACATTTTACGATAAATACCCATTTAGCACGGTTCTGCATAGAACAGTTTTCGACGTCGAGAACAGTAACAACCTTGTATTATTATACTGTAATTATAATTTTGTTTGCTGTATGTCTTACAATACAATTTACGTAGCATAACACCTAAAGAATATACATATTTAAACTTCCTCGAGGATAAGAAGAATAACTCTTTACATCAGGTATACAGGTATGTGTAAACTGTTAAATTCGAATTTAAAAAAATGAAAAACCTAAGAAGATTTTAGTTTTTGAATATAGTTGTCGAAGCATAAACAGTACACTACATGAAGATGATAAATTGTATAATGTGAGTACTGTATACACCTGGGTCTCTGTTTACACGGTATTTTTTTAAACGATTAACTTTCACACGATTTTTTAACACGTTTCATTTACTTTTAAACAGTTTTTTTTGACACGTTTTACTTACTTTAAGGCGGTTACAGACTAATTAGTTCGTACATATATAACACAATTTAAAATATAATTGTTGTTCAGTTAATTAGACATTCACATCGGCTTGAGCAGTTAGTAACTAAGTGCTGTGAATCCAATTTGCGACCTTTTGGGGCGAGGATTGTGTTGTGATTTCTGATCGATTCAAAAAATTCACAAGTTTGTTCATGTAATACGTTTATAAATTCTTTATAGTAAATAGATAATAGATAGTATGTAACATCGATAAGAAAACAAGCGGTGTATATTCTTTTATTAATTAGTTACTATTAAAAATAAGGAAAGAATAAATCTGCGTGACGCTGAATTTAATACACCTTTAGCTGTTGTAAAATAGAAGATGATTAACTATTTATCATAAAGAAGCGCCGCTGTTTCCTCTAAAATTATTAAAGAGAAATGTATTTTTTTATGTTTATTTCATAGTTTCTAGGACTGAAGCCATTCAATGTTCAACATACATACTCCTTAAGTTCTGACTTTTATTTTTCGTATTAAAATTAGATCAAACATAAAAAATAAATGTAAAAAAGGTAAAAAGAAGAAATTAATTCTCGTTAAGTTATTTGTAACATGTATACCTACACATCATCTGTTATATTTTTTCTTCTCTTTTTCTAAAACCATTTTGATTTTAGTGACATTTATAGTTTTCAAAATTAAGCAATATCAGATTGATACAATGAAGAATTCGCCATTTCTAAACGGAACTGTCGATTGTGTTGAATAAAACGAACCGGTACATCACAAAATCAGAACTAATAGAAGTCTACAGTTTAACGATCATTATATCGTTACAAATCCTTCAACATCTTAATAAACGAAAGATCAAGAAAACATTAGATGGCCAATTTCAGCGATTCTTACATGTCACTATGTTTGCAAATTAAAATATTCGACAAAGATAATTTATAATATCGCCATCACTCACAAATGCAGGAGTTATTTTAGCATCAATATTAGTAAAAAATTATTTCACATTTATTATGATTCTCTTGCGTATCTGTAACCTTAGTCATTTTTACTGAAAATTATTATTATTTCTCAAGAACAGAATTGACAATCAAAAAGTTACATTTGTATTTCGTTAGAAAAGGTATGTAAAATCTATCGGATGTTATTCTGACGAAGAAAAATGATTTTGTTTAAGAAAAAACATCGGCCACATTTTTTGCGGAAAAATCTAATAATTTGTGAAATGGCGTGATACGTTGAAGAATGAAGAAGCAACGGAATTAGTATTTAAGAATCACCTGGTTTGGGTGAGCATCTTGACGAGGAGCGGAAGAGAACGCGCGAGAAAGGAAGTCCTGCGATACGCGAGAAAACTGCCGGTGAACCAGGCAACCCCGAGGCCACCAAACGCGAAACTAAGTCAAGTACGATAGCGTTCGCGGGCTTTGCGCAACGGCCAGCCTCCGAGCGGGGTTTATTTCTATCCCGTGTGATTCGGCCCTCTGAAAATAACAGTCGACTCGCCCAATGACGACCAGACTGCTGATTCATCAACCTGCAACCGGTCAGCATCCACTCGGCCAACGAGAATCGATACGTATACGTTCAAACGACGTGTAGACGACGGATTGACGCAAGGTGGTTGATTATTCCGACAGATTCTCGAGAATGTCAAGATGGCGACCGGGGAACCCACGCGAGTATTTATTCAATTGGCCAAAAATGGATTGAAGCAACAGTTTCCAATTACAATAGATATCATTGTGATCATTATTGCATGGATGTTATATCAGTTAATGGAATCAATAAAATTTTATATCACTTAATGGAATCAATAAAGTCATTCAAGACAAATGTTAAAGATCGACTTTAAATTAAAGATTTTCATTACTGTACTATACTATGAACGTTAACTACGAGTGGGAGAGGAAAACTATAGGCATACGGCCAGGGACTTAAACCGGTATGATTTTGACACCGGTATTATGCCAACAAAGCTACACCGAAACCGATATATTACCGAAAACCGAAATAAATATCGGTATTTTTTCGATTTCCAAAAGGGTACGGCTTATACATATAGGGTTATATAAGGCGAGGGTACAACCGAAAATACCGGTATAATACCGGTATGTAATGTTTCGGTAGAAGCCCCTGGGCATACCTACTTCCATCGCAATGATTTATTTACGACATATTTTACAGTTCTTTTAGAAGGTGTGTCTAAATATTTATGAACGGCAATGATAAATACAAAAATTGTTTTGCATTCATGTTATTCTAGAAAACCATCCAATTGAACGGAAACAATGTTTTACGAACTAATTGTTAATTTTATTTTTAAAAAAGTGACTTTATATGTTTCTTCGTAAAAATAATAATTGATTGGTTAAAATAATTGTTTGCGTTTAGTTGTGAACGGATTATAATTGTTTGTACAAAGTAACGTTTCTGTAAAGCAATTTGTAGAAATATATGTTATAGGTAGGTATATGTATATTTTCTTTATTATTTTTACTCTCCAATAGGCTTGTAAAATTATGCAATTCGGTAATAATTGGTAGAGAGTAATCACGATAAAATATTTTAATACGTTAGGCGTTATTGCTGAAAAATGGAAATGGATACAACATCATGTTCTAGGACAGTTTCCGTTCCGTTCGAGCTTCTTTGAATCCCTTAAGTATTTCATTTCTCATTACCGTTTATATGTATTTGGACACCTGCACTGTCTTAAAGAAATGCCCACATATATGTGTATCATAAATAATCCATTTCGATATAACAGCACCTGATTTTATCTCCTATTTGTAGCCTATATTAAATGGTGAAAAAATAGCATTTAACGTCTACATAGCAGTATAAATGGAAGAGTAATAACTAAAGTCGAATGAAAATCGATCTTCTGGAGATGCTTAAGGACTTCATTCTTCATCCTCAAGACAACCGATACATACGTTTCACAAACACTCGAAGATAATATATTCGAAAATATTCATTGAACAAAAATTTTCGTACGTTTTCATTAATTTAGGAAAACAGAAAGTTGTTTTGAAAAATCTTGAATTTGGACTTGTCGATCTATAAAACGTTGTTTGACTATTCTTTTGTCCAATTTTCGTATAACTTTGCCGAATATAGTCTTTTCTATTTATTTATTGCGCATAAATATGGCTTTCTTGCAGCTACTCTACCTACAAAGCCTACTTCATTTAAATGCCGTTTCACTGATAAAAGTTACAGACTTCTGTCTCGTTGTTTGTTAATTTGCTGTGTAATTTCTGGCGCTGTTAACCTTCTATTATGTCCGAATGAAATAATAAAAGGGAAAACATTTCTCTAGTACATTATGGTTAACGGAAAAATTCAAACTGTTCATAATAGTCACAAGACGGTCTATTAGTGGCACATTAATATTCTTGTTTTATTGTGCATTTATGACAAGTAGCTGACAAAAACGATGGAACACGTTCCCCAAATAATACACACCATCGACTAAGAGCCATAAAATGTGTATCTAGTTGAGACTGAAACATTGTCGTAAACTCGAAAAGTCATATCGTTCGAATAATTCGGAGCAGTCATTTTGTAGATGAATTTTGAATTCTTTATACGCATAACATATTGATTGAAGTCTGCAGTATGTCCGCAAAATCCTCGTACAACCGGCCGGGTAATGATTCTAATGCAAAAATAATTCGAAAAAGAAAGAATACACTTTTGCATTTAAGATTTCATTTTTGAGATAATCAAATTTTTAAATCTGCTGGATACGTGTACAATTGAATGGGACTTTGCTAACGCATTCCGTTTCTACTTACAACACAAGGAATATACGGGTTTTAGATTAATTTTCAAATTTAATTTTCTCGAAAACGACACCTTAAATGAAACAAATTTCTTCTTCTTTTTCGACTTAGTTTTTTCTTCTACAATCACCACCTGGCTGGTTGTACCACGATTTTCGGGTCACACTGTATATTTGATCGAATGTGGAAAATTTTCCGAATTATTATAATGATACTAAAACTAAAAGAATGCATTAATATAAATGTATTGTGTAAAACTGAAGTATGTGTTTCGAGGATTAATCCTTAACTAGAGACCACTCGGCTCAGAGACAAATTTGGTTTTTTCTTCCACTAGCACTATTCTTATTAAAGTTCCAGCGTTTGAGCACCTTCAAATAACAGTAAGTGGCACACTATTTCCAACACAGTAACAAAATATAACATTCAATTGGATATGAAATGAATTGCAAAGTGTCGTTGTCGAATTATTCATCGCTGAGACGAGTCGTTTGTAGTTAAGGGTTAATATTGTTTAGTAGCGTACGTCAACTGTGCGTTGACATTTCCGTAATTTTGCTTACCCGACTGCACCGTTAGCCAAAACTTGGGTCTGTCTATCCAAAGTTTCCTGTATTGTTTGCGGTGAATAAAGATTGATCGGAGAGTTGAACTGCTTGTTCACTAACATTGTCCTTTGAGTGGACATTGCTGCAATTCTGCTGGGTCAGTTCTTAGACACTGGGAAACAACAGAAAATGAACAGTTAGAAAATTCTAATATATTCAAATGTATTCGTTCTTACGCGTTCAGTGTCGTCTGAAATATGAAGCTTCCGTCAGCAGTTTAAAAAACTGATAAGGAAGTTCAACTATAATATTTAATTATGAGAAAGCCTTGACAGTATTGTAATATCGGCAATGGATGAGTCAGTCTAATTGTACTAGTAAAATTGTGCTATACCTGGGACAGTAAATTGAACAGTTCATGAGTTCCTCAATTTCTTTATATTTAGCTTAACATACCATTACTTCTCGAAATTTTGTTCTCTTGAAAGCTGGCATTTTTTTCTATAATTGGCAAACATTTGATTTCTTAAGAACCTAAATAGAGTCAATTTTATATCGTCTGTCAGTAATTCTTTGTAACTCAAACCATGTAGAAACAAGCTTTTAAAATATCATAAATCTTGGAATCACAATATCCTTGAGAAAAGTAGGTCAGCCTAGTCCAAACAAATAAGGCATTAGTATCATTACTTTTGGCAACCCAACACGATCTTATACAAATCATTCGGCTAATCGAACATTAATTTAACGTCTGTGGCCGTTAATTCCGCGAATGTAACAAATCTTTTGCCCTCGACTTTCGAACTATTGCCAAAACTAATTGCACGAAGCTGCATGTTCTGATCAACACGAAAATAATTCTAACGAGAATTGGGATTGGGAGGATTTAATACGCAATTTTCAGGTCTTTTGTTTGAAATGAATGCGGTTGCAGTAATTTCATTAATTACCTACACAAGAAGCAGAATGTTCAAATTTTGATTTCTTAAGAAAATCTTCCAGTCTGTAATATGTGCAATTGTGAAATAACTACGAAACATGTTCTTTTGACCTGTCCTAGACATTCCAAATCCCGCGCTAAATATCAACATAAAGCAACTTGAAGTGAATATACGATTAAAAAAATAAAATAACATAAATAATGACCATCACCAAAATATTAATGGCGATCGTCAAAAAAATAAAATAACAAAAATAATGCCTATCACCAAATATCAAAAGTATTACCTTTTAAAAGACTCAAGACTCTATAATAGAATCCAGTTGCGCTTACGATATTATCCTAATTCATATAAAACAATACATTTCTAAGTGATATATGTATAGTGCGAGATGTAGTAGTATTCATACATAAAGAAAGTAGACACGAAAAGAACCGTATTTTGTACATTGTTAATTACACTTAAATATGGCCGTTTCTGCAGATACATAATTTTATAATGAATTTGAGAGATAGACAAAAATTAAAAAAATGTATTGCCTATATCGACTACTTTATTACATAAAACTAAAAAAGAAAATAAAAACTATATTGAACTTTGTTAAAGTTTTTATTCGGTTACGTTTTACACGCGTGCCATAACTGCAAGAAATCTGTACTAATGCAATAAAAGAAATATACAGGAAAGTCAATCGAATTACTAATTCCCAAATATAACATTCGAAATATTTGAATACTTTTGTCTCTAACTGAATATTTCAGCATGATTCACACATGGCCTTCTTGTAGTAATTAATTAAAGACCATGTATAAACAGCATTATACGTTATGTAGAGGTAGTAACAATATCTATTTCAGACTGAACAATAGCCAGCCTGTCGTATATAATTTAAGAAACCTGGATGAATAATACTATCCAACCAAGTGACGCGATCCATGTATGACTTGCATGTTGTTATTAATTAAAATTTCTGTTTGAAACATCAAACGATTAAAACTCCTGAATAATCATTATTCTACATTAAATAGCCCCTGTACACGTTTTTCACTGAAATACAAATGTTACATTTTTATTCTATCGATTACATAATTATTGTACTGAATTTGAAGATGACTCTTCAAAGGTACTTTTAGCAGTTATCTTTCCGCAGAATCGTGGCGTATATCATCGCTAAATAGTAATTTTTAACAAAAATTGACATACATTTTTATGAAGTTTATTTATGAATTTGGCTTAAATATCCATTTTTTATGTACGTGTCTTTAGCTTAATTAACTTTAGTGTTTAATATAAGTGATTTCATTGTTATGTTAGATAGTACCTTGAAACAAGTAAAGTACACTGTGTAATTCTGCAATAAAGAAAGGAACTATACATATTAATCATTTTCATTCATAAAAGTAACGTCAAATATACCTATCACTAAATTGACCAACTGACATGTGCAATAACCTAATATATGATATTATCAACAGATGTGTCTACAATTGTATGCTGACCTTTTCCCACTTGTTTGGTGTTGTAAACAACATTAGTTAAGGAAATGCATACTTAACATGTGTTGTGGGCTGCTCACGATAAGCTCGTGATTCGCCCCTGCACGTTGATAAATTAATATCGCGCAGCTCGTTAGAAGGTCGTGTGAATAAAGATGGTGGTGATTTGTGATTTTGAGTAAGTTAACAGGACTTGGTAACACACTTAAATTTTAATAAATGTAACAAGTGTAATGCATATGTTGGATTTTGCCCCCCCCCCCCTTCACAGAGTTATAAAATTTTTGCGTAATATTTAATAATTGCAGTATAATTTGAAGCACAACCAACAGCCTCTATTAACAACACGCATACATTTTCCACGATTTGTGACTTTAAAAACAAAATAAAATGTGTCTGACTATATACAGCCTTTTTCACTGTGGCAGTCGATGTGTTAATATTTTTGCCCCCCCCCCCCCCCCCCCCCTGATAACCTGGCTACGCCCATGGTAATGTATGTGTATGTACGTGTGTTTTAGTTGTGTTTGCTTTGAATGATAGATGTGTACTCTTTGACTCCTGAATATGTACCCTTTGTCGGTGGAATGTATTCTGTGTGATGTTTGTATACGTAGTCGCTCGATGGTACGGATCAGCTTACGATTTGTTGTGTGTATTTGTGTGGTGGTATAAGGTGGAGGAAGTGGGGCTTGGCTTATGTATTGTTTTCTGGGATTCGTGGACGTCAGCGTTGAGATACAATAAATAACTGTTTTTAGGGACAGTGAATAATTATTTTGCACGTGATGCGAAGCTGTCCAAGAATCCCCGTTTACGACAGATTTTCGACCATACTGACGGTTCAAGACGCAACAGTCATTGCAACCGTTGCCTACCTGCATTAGGTCGAACAAAATATGTATTGCTTGTTGATTTTCGTAGAGGTATTATAGTGACAGAAACCGTAAAACACATTTGAGTTAAGGATGAAATGCATTATATGCAATTTCAGAAATTTTAATCGGAAAGTTTTGTTTATACGATGCGTCATGTTCTGGGCGATGAAGAGCAATGAAGATAGTTTACGGACGACAATTGCCATAAAATATCATAGCCATACTATAAAGCTCGCAATAAAGTTTAATGTGTTCTAAAATTGTATTGCTGTGTTGCATCCTAAACGAGGGAATGAGAAAAGAAAAAAATTTCTGTTCATGTCAACATAACAAATTATAACAATAGAACGTAAAACATAAATACGTTTACATTTTATCAATGACTAAAACGAAATTTTACAATTTCTTTCTTTATTTCATTATTCTCAATGAAATTTTGTCACAATATTATTCAATCAATCTCAGGTTTTATTAAACCATTATTCAACAACTTTTCACTGTTTTCTTTAACAAGGAATTTGTATACTATATTCTTTCATTCGAATAAAAGTATCATTTGCGGCACGCTTTGGATATTCTGACAGATTTATGGTCGATTAAACTTTACTTAAGCTGTAGAACGTGTATAATCAATCGAAAAATTAAGTTTTTACCTTCAACTGTTGTAATTCTAACAACCTGTCGGCCAATAAAAATAAATTTCAGAACAAAACTGTGAAGGGTGAATATTGTCATCACCAAAATTGAAAAGGTCATCTGTACCTTGTGTTTGAGTTTCAACATACATAATTTTTTGTACAGTCGAGGATCAATATTTTATCCATTGAGATAAACACTTGACATCCTGTATCTCTTACGGTTTAGAATTTATATATAAAATAAAAAAAATTATTTTGTTTATAAATGACACATCATAGAAAATTTTTCTTTCAGTAATGTGATAGATCATAAAAAACTAAACAATTTCTGTATTTACAGTTTTGCTCTATCTCGTACCGTTACGAAGTTATATCAAGAAAACGAAAAGGCGCGAAAACTTTAAGGGCTGATTTCACCCCTTCAGAATGAAAACGAGCACGAAAAAAAAAATTCCTCTAAGCATAGTTTAATATGCCCTAGATTCATGCGAAGTTTTATTAAAATCAAAATTTTCGGGTTCGGAACCTTCCCTTGTTAGTTTGGCAAGACACACAATCCAACCTGTAAAAGTATCCAACACTTTTCTTAACAAACTGTATATTCAGTAGAAAGTCTCGAACTTTAAAAAGTATACATAATTGAACCACAAGGGAAATGTTTTCATCTAATTATTCTAATTATAAGTATGCTACAATGCAGGACCCCAAACTTTTTAACAATAATGTACGTATTTGATTTTTTTATCATTCTTTAGAAACTTATTTCAAATGTTCCCTAGCGTTGTCCTCTATACGTTTCTTGGCACGAATTTCGGTCGAACGAGGCGAAACACCGAAGTGACCGGCCTCTGGTTTGGATATCGAATAACCAAACATTCATGAACGATCCCGAAACACCGGGACGATGATTCGTAACCCACTTCCCCAACTTGTTTGTTCTTCATCCCCGCATAACATTGGATCGATCATGTGAATCATCGTTGGCAACGGTATTTATGTACACGAGATTGTGCGCCTTTCTTTAGATCAATTTGTAAAATACGAAATATCTATTCTCAGCTCAGTTTTGAAAACATTTAGGACACAGGTGAATTTTCTAAAACACTCGCCGCTGCAAATATTTTTTTCCCTCATTCTTTTATGTCGCATTGACTACGAAGGTTTATTAGGGACAACAATGTCCAGTTATGTTACACGTGTAAGTAGTTTCGTGTCTTTG